AGTATAACAGGGCTCAAAAAAGAAAGAAAAGTTCATGGAGGATAGGTCCCTCAATGGCTATTGGCCCAGATGGTCAGGGATACAACCCCATGCTCTGGGTGTCCCTAGCCTCTGATTGCCAGAAGCTGGGATTGGATGACGGGGGATGGATCACTTGATAATTGCTCAGTTGTGTTCATTCCCTCTGAAGTACCTGCCGTTGGCCGCTGTCGGAAGACAGTATACTGGGCTAGATGGATCCATTGGTCTGACCCAGTATGGCCATTCTTAATTATCAGCTAGGAGAAAGAATTTAATCAGAAAAATGTGAATAACTGGAAGTCATTTAAGAATACCTTACTAGATGCCCAAAAAGGCACAACCACATGGTGTTGGTTTTAAAAAAAAAATGGTTTAGAGGTGAAGAGAAGGCAGTTATAAAAATAATATATAATCCCAAAAGGAAGAAAGAGGAAGTTAATCATAATGAATATAAATCACAAGTTAAGAATTATAGAAAATTGATAAGGAACACACGGATAAATCTATGGCTAGGAGAGTTAAGGATAGTAAAAAGGAGTTTTTGAAAAATATATTTGGAACAAAAAGAATCCTGACAGTTATATTGGTCCATTACTAGATGGAATAGGTGGAATTATCAGTAATAATACAGAAAAGGGAGAAGTATTCAATAAATTCCAATTACTTAGACAAGTTAGATGTCTTCAAGTCACCAGGGCCTGATGAAATGCATCCTAGAATACTCAAGGAGCTGACTGAGGAGATATCTGAGCCATTAGCGATTATCTTTGAAAAGTCATGGAAGACGGGAGAGATTCTGGAAGACTGGAAAAGGGCAAATACAGTGCCAATCTATAAAAAAGGAAATAAGGACAACCCAGGGAATTACAGACCAGTCAGCTTAACATCTGTACCCGGAAAGATAATAGAGCAAGTAATAAATCAATTTGCAGACATCTAGAAGATAATAAGGTAATAAATAAGTCAGCATAGATTTGTCAAGAACAAATGGTGTCAAACCAACCTGATAGCTTTCTTTGACGGGGTAACAAGCCTTGTGGATAGGGGGCAGGGCTGGTGCAACCATTCAGGCGACCTAGGCAGTCGCCTAGGGCGCTAGGATTTGGGGGGGCGGCATTTTTTTCGGCAGCAACCGCGGCGGCCGGATCTTTGACCGCCTCGGTCGCTGCCTGCATTTCGGCTGAGGGAGCTGGGGCAGGGGAGTGTGGAAAGGGCCGCCT